ACCACCCAGTGCCCACAGAATTAAGCCCAAACTCCTTGTCCCGGTGTCCAGACTCTTGGAGATTGGCTCTGCTGCCATTTTCAGCCTCACTTCCCACCAACTGCTTCACAGAACTACTATTCCATCCAAGCAGGTGAGCTACATCCAACACTGTTCACATATTTTCTGCAGAACTGATTGGGACTGCACTGAATGCAAGGAAGGTTCCCAGGCTGAAGCAGGGTCCGTGGTGGGTGCCCACCAACAAACAGGACTCACTTGTAGAGGCATCCGAGTCTCAGAGAGGAAAGTGCCCAGGTGGGGCCTCTGCTTTAGAAGAGATATCCAGAACCTGACCATTTCCCACTATCCTGCCTACCACCAGTCTGGCCTGAGCCACCATCACCTTTCACATGGATTATTGTGGTAACTCTTGAAAAATCTCTTCCTTCTTCCTGGCCCTCTGAAACCACTAGGCAGTCCTGTCCCCTCCACTCAAAACTGTACAGCAGCTCATCATTTCAGTCACAGTAAGAGGCCAAGGCCTTATACCATTTGGCCCCACCAAGCTCGCTGACCTCACCCTCTCAGTTCCTCTCATTCACTTGGCTTCAGTCTTCTGCTCCTCAAAACCTGCCAGGCATACCCCACCTCAGGGTCTGTGCACTGGCTGTGTCCTCTTCCTGGAACATTCACAGTCTAGATAGCTGCATGGCTTGCTTCGTCATCTCCTTCAAGCCTTTGTTCAATTGCTTCCTTTTTAGTGTGGCCTGAGCACACATTTCAAAATTGCGAAGCCTGTCCTCCCTCCTCATCCTCCCCACCTTTAGCATTCTGAATCCTTACTCTGTCCCAGTGATTTTTCTTTTGCCAGGGTGCTTATCACTTTGTAACACACTATATAATTCATTAGTTGATTTCTATCATCTGTCTTCCCCTACCAGAATGTGAATGTCACGAAAGTATGATTTTTATTTTTATTTTATTTTATTATTTTTTTAAGGTAGAGCTTGATAGGACCTAGTCCTACTCTCTCTTTTATC